TTGAAACTGTTATGAATCAATGATATTTTTTATGTATAGAGTGAATTGTATTTTAAAAGTGTGGTATAAATAAAATATTATTATAAGCATTTATATATAATATATGAAACTATTTAGAAATATAGTTTCTAATTTTAAATATAGAAAATATAAGTATTTAATATTAATATATTCATTTTTAGCATTTATTTGGAAATTATTTATAAAGAGTTCTCCATTTTTGTAAAATAATTTCTCTATTTGATCATATTTGTACGAGTGTGTGTGTGGGAATTATCTATTCATATTTTTATATATCAGACCTTTTTGTTCAATCGTCAGGTTTTCTTATTCAATATCTTCTCGGATATTCTCTAGAAAGAACCAGAACTTCTTAAATTCTGAAAATTTTAAAATATAGAGAAGGTTTTGATTAATCTGTGGTAAAATTCCTCAACGGTGTCATCAATAAGAAATGCCGAATATCCCATGTTGTGCTTCATGTAACTCTGGCCCTTGGGATTGAAGTGTGGAATATGCTGAGACATTGCTATATTTGCTATATCTCATCGGTTATTTCAAAATATTAATCAAATGTAAATGTGCAAAATATTTTCTGAACTAATAAAATTCTATAAAAAATATTTTATATAGAATATATTCATAAAAATAATACTATTTCTGAGAATTTTGCTTAATATATAATAAAATGTTTACGATAGCTTTTTTTTCTTAAATTTTTTTTCAAAATGTATTGCCACACACACAAATTCAATGTTAGATTTATCGTTTTTTACATTTATTTGAAAATTTTAAGAATTATTTTATAGGGTATATTTCCATATATCATGAGTGGGTTAAGCAAAATAACTATATATATATAAAATTTAAAAATTGATAAATTCCATTGAAGGCATAGAAACATATTTCACCAATTGGTCATTTAAGCATTAAATTAAAATATAATATGCTTTCTTTAAATATATATATTAATAATTCTCTTAATTTTAAATCCATTTACCGAACAATATTTTTCTGCTTTATATTCAACTTTGATAATTTGAACCCATTTCAACGCGATGAGAGAAATAAAACTCGGATATTTTATAATGAATAGGCATATATTGCTATGTTCATTTTACAAGTGGTACTTGCTGATCAAAAAAATATGCAGCCCCATCAAATGATTTATACAAGTATAATATACTTGTATTTATAAGTCGTAATCATATATATATCTTCTATATAAATTTATATTTCACACAAGTCAGTTAAACAAGTCGCCTAAAAATTATAGTCCAAAATAAATGTTGATTCAAGAAATACGTCTAGAAAGATTTTAGAGAAGGAATTCTAATAAATTTCTACAAGACATCCTCGTAGTGTTTGATAGAATAACTTGCTCAATCGTTAGAGACAGAGTGAAGCTTAGGCAAATATTCTTCTTCTCTAATGGCTAGATTTATTTTACAATTTGAGATGTCTCAAAGCAATCGGTTATATACTGAGTTGTTCTATTTTATTCATAATCTCTCGATTTTGAAAAATTAGTTTCTACACAAAATTTGGCCTTATATGTGGTAATTACCAAAGTTTATAAAATACTCTATTTGTTGTTTTATAGTAGACTATGAAGATCTGTGTCTTGAGAAGGTATATATGTGAATATTTTACAAAGCAAAACTATATTTTATAGTATCTTTAAAACTGATTACTATCGAGTAAGGATCCCCATTTTCTTATCTAAAATTTTAATTTTTTATTTTTTTTTTCAAATACGGTGTTTATATTGACTGGAGTCTTGAGGAGCAGTCAATTGATCGCATAGTGGCGCATTGCATCTATTCTAACAGGAAATGCCGGTTTGTTTCAAAATAATTTTATTTGTGCAAGAGACTCAGGGACAGCAAAAGAATTGAGTCAAAAGGTGATTCATTAAATATGTTTATATCAAAAAGAACGTACCTGAATCTAAAATTGTTTTTTTTTTTCACATATCTCAGGCAAGCCCTTTTTATATAAAGTAAAGAGATTGTTTGTATATTTTTCTCAACATTGAGAGTTAATTTAGAAAAATTAAAATTGCTTACACAACGACGCTAGAAATTTATAAAGGTTCTGCCTTAACAGTAATTTATGTAATAAGAAAAAATTCTGGCAAGTTCCTAAACAAATTGAGTTACTTTTGGTGAATATGCCTGTGGCACTCAGAAAATTTCTACCTATTACCAACCACTGTTTTGGTGTACTACCTGTCCTCTTTGAGAGTAAAATCCATGTTTTGACCTTTAAGCAAGATTAATATATTGGACCTTCACACATGCGAGGGCTAAATTTGAGACTATTCACACAGTGTAGATATCATGAACATTAGCATGTCACATGTGTATACCTAAATCAAAATGCTAAACATTTTAAAATTCGAGTTTAGAGCTTTTAAAAATTAAAATAAAAATTTGAAATCAACGGTCAGTTGACATTTTCTGATAGATGGCAGTGAGGCATCAGTTACATTCAGTTGCACACACACACAACCAGAAACCTTCCTCTTTCATTAATTCAGAAGCCTGATCTATCTTTCTCTACTTTAAACTATGAATAATCATATGAAAGCCCGTCAATAAAAAGGACACTAAAACCAATATAGAAATCAGGGTCAATAAATATATAAGTCACATGTTATATTTTATTAGAGCCATTATGAGCCAGTGATATTTGAACATTGCATTTGTTTGATATTTCAAAATGGTTTCTATATAATTTATACACCTAAATATATATTTTCAGACGTAAAATTAAATACACTTAAATATTTTCTCGGAAATACAAAATATTTCACTTTATAAAATCCTTACTAACGCCTATATATTTTTAAAGGGTTTTCACACAATATAAATGAACAGAAATATTTTTTACGATTAATTTATATTTCTTATATTGATGAATCGAATGATAATTATTCAATAATGCCACCTTTTTTGTTGTCAGAGATATTGAAAAGAACATAGGGCCATCGTATATGTGATGACAAAATGGAATATAACTGATATATATATATTTTTTATATATTCGTTCATTTTTTCTCTTCCAGAAAAATGGTTTAACACATTTACTTAATGCTTTCTTTGAATATACTTAAAATATTGGGGTAAATATATCTCCCATACGATCCAAATTTATAAATTACACAATAACAATTTATAAATTCAATGGTGATCTATCGATAAAATTTATAATAATCAATTTGAGATAAACTTTTATGTGATATATGTTAAAAGAAACTGTTTACTAATTTACTACAATAAAAATATTTAAAAATAAATAATATCATATCCGTAACATGCAGATTAATCTTTATATTGAACCTTGATAGTTTATCGCAAGTAACTTCAAAGTATTATTGAATCATAACCGTTAAATCTTTGACTCCAAATGTATTCTGACACTCTGTGTATAGTTAAATTTCGAAGGAATAGAAAATTGAGATACTCCCTACGTGAATAGGTTGGTTTGGAAAATGGCTGTAACGGGAAAAAACGTGTGAAGCGCGCGCACTAGCCCATTGGGCCTCTGGTGCATCTGTACAAGTACATATTGTATAAAAATATTGTTTATGCCAGGTTTTAGCTTGTATGTGCAAGAAGATTCGACATATAAGCCTGAAATTATTTACGCATTCCTACTTTAATATCCTTAATAGTCGCTCATAAAATGAAGCCTTAACTCCGAACCATTTCATAGTTGAAGGCGTGTATCACCGACAGATGGAATATATTTATAGATTTTATCAATACGTTTCCTGACTAAGCGTATAAACATTTATGAATAATATTGAAAATCTTATTATTAATAAATATCGAGAGAGAGAGAGAGAGAGACTAAATCAAATAAAAATATTGTTGTAGAAGTAAAAAAGAATTGTTTTTGCTACAAGAAATTTATATCCGCTCGATTATTATCTTATGTTGAAGAGAGAGAGAAATAAACCATCTTAAACAATTTTTCAGCTTTCTTTACGCTTATTTTTTCTGTTTATATACCTTAAAGTGGATATGTAGAGTATACGGTTAATTTTATTACCATCCTGTTTGAATTTATGGTGGTATTTTATTCTATCTTTGAAATTGTAACTAGCGGTTCTAGGTTTGTGTGTATCTTTTCTTGTCTATTCAAAAAATGAATTCTCGCGCCGTTTAAAGATCTTAAAATCAATTAAAAGCTGAAGTTTATCATATCTTAATCGTAAAACCTTTGGAGCAACATGATTTTATCTGTTGATATTCATCCTGATTTGAAAGAATATTTCTAACATACAAGTCTTCAATTAAAAAGGCATATAATGGATAAAAATCATTTATTTTATCAATAATTCAGTTGAATGAACGCCAACCTTTATCAAAGTATTATAACATTTTAATGTATGTGAACAACAAACTCAGCGCCTCATAACGTCAACAGAATTATGTTTTGAAAATATTTTTGCTCATAAACAAAGGGGAGAAAAAATTGATATATAAATTCATATTATGAACAAAATAAATTTTGTAAAATAAGGGTGTCAGAGTATCCTTTTATATATATGGTTGAGTGTTTACTTTAAATGGAGCTTTCTCGGAATAAAAGAGTCGTCAACATGACTCTCAATATTTTCTATCGTGTTGACCTGAATGCTCATACTTTCAAGTTGATATTATATGTAACACGTTTATTTTGTTAGGACAGTCTGGGATCCTATTGATTACATTTGTTATTTTACAGTAGCAGAGAATGCTCCCATAACTCGAACTAATGAAAAGCTATTATCAATAGACCTAGCTAGATTGCACTTAAAGAGTGCGCTCTTTGAATTGATATTGCCACTATTATATATAATGTAAAACGAAAATTGAAATTATACCGCGAATGTTTCTTTTATAAAAATCGAAATTTATTTTCAAAGAGAAATAGCGACATTTCTAACTTTGAGGATGAGGTATGGAAAGGTGAAACATGAAGAGTAATGGCGAACGGAAAATAAAAAGTGTCCAGGGGCGGGAATCGAACCCACACCCTTCTGCTTACCGGGCAGGTAGGTACCTTGTCCACTCGGCTAACCTGGACGTATTTTTCCGTTCGTAACTAATACTTAAAGTAACATTTAAAATACAAAATAACGCGGCTGAATGTTACTTTAAGTATTAGTTACGAACGGAAAAATACGTCCAGGGTAGCCGAGTGGACAAGGCACCTGCCCGGTAAGCAGAAGGGTGTGGGTTCGATTCCCGCCCCTGGACACTTTTTATTTTTCCGTTCGCCATTACTCTTCATGTTTCACCTTTCCATACCTCATCCTCAAAGTTAAAAATGTCGCTATTTCTCTTTGAAAATAAATTTCGATTTTTATAAAAGAAACATTCGCGGTATAATTTCAATTTTCGTTTTACAATCATCAGCCGCGTTATATTGTATTTTATATATAATGTATAGTATTATATTTCTGATACCGATGTCTACCATTATTGATATTTTCCTTTTCCAGTAAAGGCGCATTGTCTAGGCTATAATACTATGTATGAGACATAAATTGTCACATAATAATTGACAGTTAATACAATAAAATTCTCCGTCTACCGATGAATTGATATTATAGTTTTTCTTCTTTTAGATGAATTGACAGCTTTGACTTATAAACTTCATCTTCCCGGTGTTTTGACTTTGCCAAAACCATTTTTGTCATAGTAAATATTTTTTAGACAGAAATTTGGCGCTTTTTTTAAACGAAGATTGAATTCATGAGAATGATGATAAAATATTTTATAAATTGAACTATAATTCAATGTTTCTCTGCGTTGTTATCAACTTCTGGATGGAGAACAACGAACTGGTTTGATTCAAGTAATCTTTCTGATAGCATAAGCCTTTATATTTGACACTGACAACTACAATTTAAAATTAATATAAATATTTTGTAAATCAAAAACATATATTTTTAATATATTTTTTATTTTTGACTTCTATTTATATTAACTATATGATTTCTTTATGTATTGTGGTTTATTTTGGGTCATTCTTGATGTATTATTTCTAATGTGATGAGATTTCTTTGATAAAGTATAGCTTCTTTATTTTCTATTTGTTCTAAGCAATAGAGTTGGGATTGAATTGTGTTGTGTTGTGATTTTACAGGAGGCCGCTGCTCGCCCTGACCTTCGGGTCAGTGGCACCAGCCGAGGATCCGCCTGGCCCTCAGGATGAGTGAGTATTATTTTATCTCTTTGGTGACCTCTTTGTGGTGACTGGGTGATATCTGTGTGGATACCTTGAGATATGTTTGTATTCACTGTGGGCCTTATTTATAAGACATGTTGGTGACCTATTGGCGATTAGGTATAATTCTTATCACGGCAGAATAACATCTTCATGATGACAGTATGAAGGTATGTTTCGAAGATTATGTAAAATATTTATATTCACTACGTGTTATTTTTGTGATAAATATTCGACCTATTTTGAAAAATAACCGTGGGTTATAGATGATATTTTACTTATTTGTCTGGAAAATTTGATATTGCTCTGTAGCATCTTTATTGTAGTTGCATGACATTCTTCTGGTCACTGTGAGACACCTTCCTGATTATTGTGTAGCATTCCTTTGAAGACCGCGTGACATTATTTTGCTAAATGTCAGCATCGTTGGGGAACCTGTTTGTAATATTTGATAGCAGGACATTGTTTTATTTTCCAGTGATATCTTTGAGAGAGTGTGTGGCATCTTTGTGGCGTTTGTGTGATTTTTGCGTTTGTGTGATATGTTTGTGGTGTTTGTATGAAATCTTTGAGGTGATTTTGTGGCATCTTTGCTGTCAAAGCTTTACATCTGTCTTTGCGAAAGTTCTATTTTACCTCTCTATTGTGTAACAATGTCGTGGCATCTTGGGTTTACATATACATCCCAAAAATCAAATATTGGATGATTAAACGTGGAGATTGACAAACTCTATGTTCCAGGGCGCCAGGTGGAGCACCAGCACCTGCGACTCGGTAAGTTGTTCACGGATTTCAAATTTTAGAATGTTCAATTTAAACACGTCTCGGTGTATCCAGGCTTGGCCGAGTCCGGAGGTGGCTGCGTCGCCTGGTTCCCCGGTGCCTGCGGGCCGCGCGGTAAGTTCCCTCATAGAGAATTTCATCTCACCATGCAGTGTACTTGGTCACTTTCACTTCCATCTAATTTATTTGAAGAAAAAGCAATATGGTATTAAAATTCGGTCTTTTTCTCGAAAAGAAAATTCCTCAATAAGGAAATGATTTTTTTTTCTTTTCCATCAATTTCTTTGAGTATACTTTTGGTTTTTATTAATTGTGATGATTCAAATATATAAGCATTATTTTGGATACATTGTATTTGGCTTGAGAAGGATGGAACATTTGATTTAAAAGAGAATATGGAACATTGAAAAAAAATCGTTTTTCGTTTTTTTTTTGTCATCCTTTTTTCGACTTTTCAATATCTCACATGGATTGTATGAATATATTTGAAATAAGATATCATTCTTTTGAATATCAGAGTTGAGAAATCAAAAAACAAATGTTTAATGGGGTTTTAACAATCTGTATGTTTTGATGTTATTCTATATTTTGATAGAAAAATATCTATGTTCAATAATTTATTTCCCATGAGAGAGAGAGGGAGTCATATTGAGCAAAAATGCTGTCATTTGATTTTTCAAAATGTCGTTTTCATTATGGTCACGTTACATAATCTTTACATAGAATACAAAAGGTGAATAGATTATGCGCCTATGATTTAATATTAGTAGATATGTTATAACAGTTTATTTTCATTTTCCTAAATATTTACAATAAACTAATATCGCCTAAATGATTTTTTTGCTTATCCCTATTACACGTGGAACAGGCGATGATAATCATGGTGGGTAGTTAGCGACTGCTTTTACTGTAAGTGTACCACATGTCTACACATGTGAAAAGCAGTTCGACTTTGCACTTACAAATGAACCGGAGCCCCGTTTAGTTACTTCCACTCGCTGGTAAGGTTGGAATTTTGCATGAATCGGGGGCCATTAGCATTTTTTTTTATTAGAAAAAAAAGTGTCCAATGCGGGAATCGAACCCGGGCAGTAGCGGTCGAAAACCAACGGTTTAGACCATTCTTCCACCGACCCCCTGCCTAAATGATAAATTTAAAGAGTATTAAATCTCTTCATCAGAGGGAATATATTTTCCGATTTGAATCTCGTATAAATTCATGATGCACATAATGTTAAATCAATCATCACTCTCAATCATTGAAATGATCGAACCCCATTTATAAAGGTATACTTCAATCTTTTTATATGTTTGAATGACCATTCATAGAATCTTGATATTGAAATTTGTTTATCAGTTTTTTTTTCAAATTGAAAATTCAGTGTTATATATACTGTGCATCAATATTATACTAATATACAAATATATACATTTCTTGATTTAATTTCATTTCACCAAATTTAAAACATGTGTCCTGCAAGTGTACGTTGTTTAGTGTTCAACTTCGATGTTTGCATTTCCTATTTTACTATAATGTCATCCCAACACTATAATTGTATTTACCAATTAAGTTCCACATATAAATGTCTAATATCTACAAATTGTGTATTGCAGGGAGTGAGGTGGAGACAGGAAGAAACCCGGGAAGCTGTGGAAGGTGAGAGTTGAACCTTTGTAAGAGAGCAAATTGAAATATGATTCGACCCTTAGACCGCAATAAGAGATGAATTCCTTCATAATAATTTATATCTATTTTTAAAAAGAAGTATAATTTAATAAGAGAAGGTGAGTTTTGGGGGACAAAATAAATTTCGACATTAAGGCTGGTTGTAGGAGATGATTTATTTGCCTGGAAAAATTCTAAAATTGGAGAATGACAATAGAATATCAATAGAAAACAGAGTAGGAAGACTCTTATTAGCTATAAACAGTCGGAGGGAGTATAAAGGGAAGATAGTTTTGTTAATGAGCTACCTCAACATACATCCTACTGTCTATGCATCATCATGTTACTTAAATTTTAAAGCTTATTGATATATATTTTTTCAATTTAGAATTCTGATATCTTGTATATCTATTATTTGTTCGTCTTACTACTCATGGTTTTATGTTTATTTATATATACTAGTTATTGCTATCTACCGTTTCAGACTCGAAATATATATAACTTGACTTGAATATATAACAATCTACAGGCATATTATATGTATTCCTTGAAGGTTATGTGTTTATTTAGAGGTTAAATATCATCAATGGTATTCATATATCAGTTTGAAGACTTATTAACATTTTTATTTTCAATTGAGATTCTATAAGTTGTTTGGGTATGCATACGATTGTGGTCATTTATGTGAATTGAGAGTTTTTAATATTATTTTTTTAAATTAAAATATTTACATCACCTATTCGTAAAAATTTAGTTGGACCATCAGATGTTTTTTCTTAAATTATCTTCCTGATTCCAGTTCAATTTCACTTTGGTTCTATTTTTCATATTGATATATTTTTAATTGTTAAACTGATTTCTCTCTCTAGTTACTTAGAGATTGAATATTTATTTAATAATACTTGTTTATTAAGCTATGATACATAATTTACATATTTTTTAATTCTCACATTTAAAGTTTATTTGCCATCTCTATATAGGTTTCCTTACTATTTACAATAGTCTACTTATTCGTATCGTGTGGGGACCATTGTAATGTAGTACGAAAACCCAATTCAAATATCAAAAAAATCATGAAATGTTATTTCAACTTGACACGTGGAAGGGACAACTCTCAATGATGTGAATTCGAGGCTGGTATTTATAAGTGTCCATAACACTAAATATAATCAGATATATTGTTCAACCAACTGAAATATTGGTAAAATAAATGATATTTTGATCCAATATATGCCTTTTTAATTAAATACAGATATATATGATCTGTATTTATGTTCGAAGTTGTCTTTTCTAGATGATTTGTCGATCAAGTCTATCTAGAGATTCCCTTTTTAATTGATAATTATTATTCCTATCTGAGGATGTACGAGAAAATTTAATGGTTGTCAAATATCAGGAAAACCTT